TATCTTAGTTAATAGGCATGATTAGTAAGAGTGTTTTAAAAAAAATAAAATTTACTTATTACAAATAATTAACTTAACTAATTTTTTTAATCTACTCAAATTAGTCAAGTTTATATTAACTTTTGATTGATGTGTATTTATAGGTATTATTTTTTTTAAAAAAATATAATTGCTAATCATATGTATTACCTGAAATTACTATTTGATAAAATCTTTAACAGTATGGTTATTACAAAGACTAATTTAAAAAGCAGATAAATATAAAAATAAAATATATTAAAATTTTATATTTAAAATTAAATTGAATGTCAAATTATTATACAGAACGGAGTACGAGCTTCGTGAGCGGCGTTGTTGTGGAAACCTCGGAGAAGCCAAATAAACATTTAATGGGTTACACGTGGTGGGGTATTATTAGTCACCTTCTTTTTGACAATCTTCTCACACAAAAATCTACGTTTAATGAGGAAGCCCAACCCTTGTTTGCTTGGAAATCATCGTCATTCTCTTACGATAATATTTGTTATATCCTTATTATTACAAATAATAAATTTTTGTTAGAAAATAAAATGAAATGATTTTTATATATATGTATAACTGATTTATTCAAGACAAAATTATAGGAATTGAATAGTTTCAACTTAAAATTCAAAGCCTAATTCAATAATTGAAAGAAAGATTAATATATTTATATGCTTTCTCTCCCCTTCCTAATATATCACATGGAGTTGTATGAAAAGGAGCAGAGATGAATTTTTTTCCCTCCATATGAAATTTGAGATATGTTAATATATTCTTGTTATTATGAGTTAATAAAATTATATTTCTTATTTTTGGTTAATGCATCTAACAATATCTTTATTTTATATCAAATAAAAAAATTTGAAAAATTTTAGTAAATAAAAATGAATTGATTATAAAGGCCTTAAGGAGGTGAGTGTTATTTTAGTTTTATTCTAAGATGGACTTGGGCTATGAGGCTAATTATGGGTACCGGGCCAGAGGCTTGCGCTTTTGTTGAGATATTGGGCATAAATATGGCCATTAGAGTAATATTGATGTGTTCCTTAACATAAGAGTTAATTAGAAGCTAATATTAATTTTATATATAATACTTATTTCACATATTTATTAATTTTTTGTCAAATTGACTTTATGGATATTTCCCAGTAATAATCAAGTATAGGGGGGAGAGAGGGAATTAAGAGAGGTACTTGTGATATTTTACAAAAAACATATCATATTAACTAATTTAACTAACATTCTTAATTTATTTAAATTAGTTAATTATATCTTATATTAAGAATTAGAGGAGTATATTTAACTAATATTCCAAAAAAAATTTCAATGGGCAAATTGTGGATAAATGATCGCAAAACACTAAAAAAAAAAAAAAAAAAGGGACAAGGTGATGACATGGCGCCTTATAATGATGTGGTGATAATGGGGATAAGGTGATGACATGGCGCCTTATAATGATGGACACGTGACGATAACGTGGCTACATGGGAGAGAGGAGGAGTTGAGGTGGTGGCTCACAATAATGGACATGTGGTGATGACGTGGACGAAGGTATGATATGGCAACATGAAAGAGAGAGGAGTTCGTGAGGTGGCGACTATTAATAATGTGGCAGCTCACAATGATGGATACACAGTGATGATGTGGATGAGGGATGACATGCACTACAAAAAAACATACTTTTAGTGACGGAATTTAGCGACGGAAATGGATTAGTGACGGAATTTGTTTTATCGCTAATTCCTTCCGTCGTAAATTAGTGACGAAAATTTCCGTCACTAACCTAAATTTTTAAAAAATAAAATAAAGTGCCACGTAGCACCTCTACCAATTGCCACATCATCACTGGGGATCACCTTCACGTGTCGTTGCCACCTTACCTCTACTGGCACATCACATGTTACCTTTGCCTGTCACATGCCATCACCACATAATTCCCTCCTCAAAGTGACTTCTCCATGACTCAAACCCAGGACCTCCTCAGTGCGCGCGTGCGGCTATACTAGTTGAGCTGCGATGAACCTGTTGACTTATTATATAAAATTAAATATATATAATATTATTTTACGCAAACAATTATATATACATATATATTATTTAAAAAATAGAAATATACTTAATGATAATTTTAATCATAACTATTTTAATGAAAAATAATTTTTAAATATTTGTTTTATAATTTTTTGTTTTTTAAAAAATATTTTTAATATAATTTTAATTTCTAACTATACTAATTTTGAATTTTAAATCATAAATAATTTTTTTATAAATATTTTAAATTTATTTTTTAATTAACATTGATAAGATATACAATTTAATGATATATGTATTATATTATATTATATTATATTCTCTATATTAGTTTTACATATTTGAAGAAACTCATTTACAATTAGTCAAAAAATCTTGTTTTTCAAAAAATAACTACTATAATAAAATCTAAAAAATTATTCTATATAAAAAATTAAATGATTTGAATAGATTATGATAAACAATATATTTCTACTTGTATATATATCCTATGTAATTTATTTTTTTAAAATTTTTTGTATATACCATTTGTTTTTGTATTAAGACCAAAATCAATCTATATCATGGGCATTAATTATATCGTGATTAAATTTTATTGTTTAATAATTGAAATTTAAAATTCACTTTAATATTAATTTGCATTCATATAAATTTATTAAATTGTTTTGAATTTCTATCATATATTATATATTTCAATATATATTACATATGATAAAATTATTTCTTTCTTATATCAGTTTGTATAAGAAAGTTATTAATATTCTTATTATATTTTTTTAACAGTATATATATAATGATGACATGAATGATGACGATATTATTATTAACACCAACTCCACAGGTATATCAATTTATTTTATAATTAAAAATGTTTTAAAATCATTATATTCTTAATTTTTATTATATAAATTTTGTTAGATTATAATTTAAAATAACAAATTTTAAAATTAGTGATAGATTAACGATGAAATTAGTGACAAAAACTTTTGTGACAAGCAATTTAGTGACAGAATTAGCGATGGAAATTTCTGATGGAAAAAATTTTCGTCGCTAATTCTGTCGCTAAATATTTACTGACAGATTAGTGACAGAATTTAGCAACAGACAAAAATTCTGTCGCTAATCCATCACTAATATTAGCGACGAAAAAATTCCATTGCTAATCCGTTAAAAAAATTAGTGACAGAATTTTCATCGCAATTCTGCCAAAAATTAGCGACGGAATTTGTTTCTGTCACAAATTCTGTTGGAAATTAGCAACAAAATTTGTTTTCGTCACTAATCAACTGTTTTTTTGCAGTGGTGGCAACATGGGAGAGGGAGGAGAATGTGAGGTGGTGATCACTGACATGATAAGTGGCAGCAATTAGTTGTTGCCATGTGGTATTTTAAATTTACAAAATCAAAAAAAATTTAACGACAGGCTAGAGGCAAAAATTTCATCACCAATTTTTTGTCACAAATCCGTCACTATTTTGTGACAGAATTTATGTGGGATATCTGTCACTAATTCATGATGGATTAGTGACAAAAAAATTTTATCACTAATTTTTGTTGCTAATGCATCAGTAATCTGTCACTAATTAGTAACAGAATTTTGAATTTTATCATTAAATAATTAGTGACGGTCGAATTAGGGATGGAAGAAATTCCATTACTAACTAAATTCTGTTACTAATCTGTCGTTGATTTTTATTAGTGACAAAAATTCTATCACTAAATTCAGTTGCTAATTTGATTCTTTTTATAGTAAAAAAATTCAGCTACGAATCTCTAGTGATCTCTCTCAATAACTTTAAGTTTGTGGAATTTCACTGCAACAACTTCTTGAACATGAAGTTAATTATCCATTAAGGCCAAGCATAAAAAGCTTATCCAAAGTTTTTTTGGCAATACTTCCATATTCTCCACATTGCATTCTATAGGTCTATTAGTTTCTGTTGTTTCACTCAAAAAAACATCTTTTTACATTTCAATTTTCACCAGTTTCTATTATGTCTTTTGAAAAATACAGTTTGCAAAAATAAATTTAGATAAAATTCATTTTACAAACATTAATAAAATTGAGATGAATTGAGATTTGAATCTCAATTTTGGGCCTCGTTATAATGTTTTGGTGATTAAACTTTCGTGAAACTCACCGGAGTTTTTATTCTGTTAGCGTTTTTCCAATTCCTTACATTTTTATTTTATTTTATTTCCCATCATATCAATTTTTCTTTGAATTTTTTACTATATTTTTACAGCTAAAAAATGTTGGGTTTTGGTTGTGAGAGTTTATTTTTAAAAAGATTATTTTCACATTTCTCTTAAACTCTTCAATATCATTCATGCATGAACCCATTTAATTCAATTAATCTAGTTAATATAGATACATACATGAGTTATAATATTCAGACCTTTAGAGATTTGTATGAGACTCTTAGTGTCCGTATAATATAATTCATATGGAATTGTATGATTTATATAATAAATATGGTTCATACAGATAGCAGTTTATAGAACTTAGTACATCAATCTTGCTAGTATATATTTAAGACTAATTCCTAATCTGCCTTTTTGTATATGATACATCATGTGTTGGTAGAATGTACTATGAACGTATTGAATATGCATTACATTATTTTCGCATGGAATAATCTAGACTGTTTGATTGCAATCCACACATACTCTATGAATGAAAAATTGGCAAGCAAGTCTAATAAGATAAATTATAAATAAAAAGATTAACAAATAAGGGTGATGAAGGACCAGTGTGCACGCACGTGTGTTGCTCCCTCTCTATATATAAAAGGGCACCTATAGGTTTTGTTTCAGCAGATGATCTCTTTGATCTTCCGCATCCATAGCCTCCCAAACTAGTAAACAGACAAATGGCTCTCATTACTCCCAGAGTTGTGTCGTCTTGTGTTGTTTTTTTACTCTCACTACTCATCAGCTTCGCAGCAATGGCTAAATCTGTAAGTAAAGTTTCACCCATCCTATAATAAGCTTTTCTTTTGTGTTTATATATATATATATATATATATTGACTGATTCTGAATATTATTGATCCAAATGGGACTAAATGCATATGCGTGGAGCAGCAGGACAGGTGCCTTTACACTATCAAAGTGAAGACAAGCTGGGACGATGGTTCAGGAACGAACTCCGTCGTGAAATTGCAGATATTCGACAGCACCGGCAAGAACTTTGTTATCGGAAACCTGGAACAGTGGGGCATCATGGAACCCCACCACGAATACTTCGAGCGGGACAACCTCGACTTCTTCAGCGGCGGCAACATTTGTCTCAATCCTTGCTCCATCTTCCTCTCCATCGACGGCCAAGGGAACAGGCCAGAGTGGCACGTGGAATACGTGGAAATCACCGTCACAGGGCCCACACTAAATACCAGGATAGGTTTCCCGGTGAACAATTGGCTAGGGGCAGGGTTCCCCACCACAGTGAATTTATGTCTGCCGTTGGCAAAGGAACAGGCCAGATCAGTGGCGCGCAAAATTCGTGCATAATCATAAGGGGAGAAAAAATCTTAATCATATGTATGATCTCTTCATTTCAATAATGATGCCTCTTCGTGGTGCATACTAATCTACTTGTTTAATTTCTTTATGCTTAAGAGCTTGTATTGCAAACTCTATCCTATGAAACGAAAATACATCATTATATTCCTCCTTCTCAAGAAGTCATTTTCTCACGATCTGTCCCTTTAATTTCGTTCTATCGTTTGTTTCAGCCGCAACTATGATTCCCTTGAGTTATTTTCATCACATAATCTTGATTTAGAATTATTCTAATTTCTTAGTAGTACACGAATTTGAAAAATAAACTAAATAGTATTGGTAATGAAACCCTTAAAATCCTTTTGCTTACAAGTTCTTAGCCTCTATCAAGACATTAAAAGAGTTAAAATGGATAGAACTCCCGACTCTAATAAACCACATCATTAATAATAAAAATTACATTTCTGATTGGTCCATTGCACCTAATAACATTTAGTGTAAAAAGAGTATTTAATTAGCTAGTTAAAAAAAAAGGCTATTTTACACCAGTTACCAAATCAATGAAAAAATTCTTAGACCAATTCTAAGAACCCAAATATTCAATTTCATTTTATTTATTTGAAACAAGTTCAATAAAAAGGTTGCTACTTGGGACAGATGAGGAAGGAGGAAGGCGAAGAATGGGGTAAAGGCATTTTTGTCATTTTGATTTTATTTGTATTTAATTAGATATAAATAAAATATAAATGATAAATTTAATTTTATTATTCTTAGCATTGTACTAAACAAATTGATTGTAATCATCATTACATTCCTTTGCATTACATTCCTTTACATTCCCAAAAATTCCATGAACTAAACGGGCTATTAATGATGCCTGCCCCCACCCCGCACCCATTAGCCCATGAATCAACTTCCAAATTACTTATTCAGTTCTTAATACAGGACTTAATTATTGAGTTATTTTTAATCTTAAATAGAAGATCTATTTCTCATATTTATTATTTTTTTCCCTAAATTATCCTTATAGATACTCTCTCAACCATAATCAAGTAGGGGAGGGAGGATATTAATGAAGATGATTATGGTATTTTAAGAAAAATATGTCATATTTCTTATAATTAACTAACTTACCTAACTTTCTTAGTTTAATCAAATTAGTTAAATAGATCTTATATTAAGGACCGAAAGATTATAATTTAAAGACTAAATCGATAATAAAAGGAAAGACTTTACAATAAAAATTATAATTTTTTCCCTTATTTTAAAGTAAGACAAGGATAGAGTTGAGTGAAAAAGAGAAGAGGGGAAATTCTTTTCTCTATATGAAATTCTTTTCTCATTTTTTGGTTAATTAATGTATTTAACAACACTTTTTATTTTACATTAATTAAAAATTTGAAAAAAATTTAATACATAAAAATGAATTGATTATAATGGACTTCAAGAGATAAGTTAGGGGGGGAAAAGTCTCCCATTTTTTGTGCGATTTCTGCTATATATGTTTTTTGTTGGTTTCGTCACTTTTGGAGTCACCTTCAAAATTTTCAAGATGTAGAACGATAATCCTTTTAATTTGTCGTGCGTAGACGTCAGTGGAATCATTGAAGACGCCATATGCTCCCTCCAGTCCGTAATATAAGAACTTATTTGATTTTTATTTTAATCCTGAATATAAGACCCCAATTCACTTTGTCTCTTATATTTATTCATTTTTTCTCAAGGCAGTCCTTATAATAATAGTAGTTCTAGTCAGTATACTTTATTAGCAAGAATATTTTAAGAAAGACAATAGTTAGTTATTACAAATAACTAATTTAACTAGTTTTCTTAATTTACTTAAATTAGTCAACTAGTTCTTATATTAAGGATCGGAGGTAGTAGAATTTATTGGGGTTGATAAGTCCCTATTCTATATACACACACACGCTCTCAAGCTTTTATCACTTTAATAGAGCTAAGAGCATCAATAATTAAGAATTAATTGTCCCAAGGAGTGATATTGGGAATTAACTGTTAAATGGACATATTTAATCACTTTTATAATTTCTCCAAATATTTTTTCTCCTAATTACATGATTTTATGTTATTCTATAAATTATATGTGCAGGACACTTAGGAGAAGAAGAACAATAATTAAAGATATAGTTATTGGGATTGAAGGACTAATAAGAATAACCTAAATGACGAAGAAGGAGCAAATAGGGAATTAAACCGATGCGTTTTTGGAGCTGAATAGAATCTGCAGATCTGGGGAGAAGAAGATCAGGGATTCAGTCCAAACTCCTCTCGGCCACGAGCCCCGCCGGCATCTCCGTCACCATGTTTTTTTTTAATCCAACGCAGTCACCATACATTATATGGGGAGTTTGAATTGAGTGTATATTAGAGAGTAATTAAATTCAGTTTCATCACATACATTAATTAGATCTGGTTAAGCTACGTCTTGGAATTATAGTTACCTAAGGGTATGTAAAGGTTATTTGCATTTTTTTCCTGCTAGATACAGGTATCTTTTTATTGAAGATAATTCTTTTTGGGGTACTATCGGACACTAAATGTGGGTATCTTTCTACTAGAAATATAAATATTGATTCGTCATATTATGAGGAACTAGTTTTTTTTTACTGGACCAAATCCTGATGAGAAAGGTTATTTGAATTAATTCCATTGATTCAGGTTATCTGAATAACTTGGCCCTAAGACTCCATCATCTTAAGAAGGAGGGCTAAAGTCCGCACCTTTAAAAGAGTTCCATTACATTGCATTACCTCTTAATTCATTGAAATGAGACACATGACAAGCATTCCGTAAAACACAACAGACCAGCAAATAAAAGCCAGATACATATTACTGTCTCAAGGCCCATTTATGCTTATAAATTAGCCGAGAGAAGTAATAATTATTAATACTCAAAATGAGACAGATTACAAACATTACGTAACACACAACACACCAGCAAAAGCGATATATATATATATATATTCCTTTAGTTCTAAATATAAAACTCTTTTGCAGTGTAAATTACACTACAAAAAGGGTCTTTTATTTAGGACCGAAGGAGTATATGTTACTTCCTCAAGGCTTGCGGCGGTAGCATAAGTCGACGTCAGCGTAGAGATGGTTGGGCCATTCGTCTAGAGCCAGCCACTGGTTCGTCGGGAAAGATATCTTGGCAGGTTTGCCGGACCCAACTATGGTGAGTTCCACGTAATCCAAATACCACCCTGGCTTGAACCCTTCGCCGTTGGAGCTGACGGTTATGGCACAAACACGGAGACAAGCGTTCCGGCCGCTGAAGACGTCGATGTTCCCCCGCTCGAAGTATTCGTGACCTGGTCCCATTAAGCCCCACTCTTCGAGGTTGTTGACGGTGAAGCTTTCGCCGGAATAGGACTTTAACTTGAGACTGATGGTGGAGTCCGTTCCCGCACTGAAGCGATCTCCTGTCTTAACTCTCACAATGTACGTGCATTTCTCCTGCATGCGTGCATATATATAAACACGCAAAAGCTTACAATAATGGATCAGAGAGAGAGAGAGAGAGAGAGAGAGAGAGAGATTACTTACAGATGTGGCCATTGAAGCAAAGCTGATGAGTGAGAGAAGGAAGACAAAAGAAGTCAATGCAACTGATCTGAGAGCCATTTGTTTAATTAGTTTACTGATCGATGCTGAAACAACCTGTAGCTACATGCCTTTATATAGGGTGACATAAATGGTGATAACTGAGTTGGAGAGGCACACTTGTGCTTTGTTATTCGTCGGAATTAAATAGAGGATGCTGCATGTGGTGAGACACGTTCTTGGGGATACAAATTCTTTTTTTTTTTTTTTGCCAGCTCTTGGGGATACAAATTCTAAAATACTCCTATGATTTTATTTATAAAACATTTCCAATACGTTTCACAAAAACTAAGAAAAACTTTAAACTTCATTAATTTTCATTTAAAATTTAATGACTTTATAACTTTATCCCTATTTAATATACATTATATTTTATATAAATAAAGTTAGCATAATAATAAATGAGCGGTAAAATTATACATCCATACAAAAAATTTCTCTTAGTGCCCTATAAATAGGACCAAAAAATAACTTCTCTCTCTATCCTATAAATAGGAGCAGAGGAGTATATATTAGCCTCAATATTTTATATTTTGGATTTACTGACGACGCATTGATAGCTTGAGAGAGAATTATAATATTTCTCCGATCCTATTTATAAGTTACTTTCAACATGTTTCACACAGACTAAGAAAAATCTTAAACTTTATTAAATTTCATTTAAAATTCAACAACTTTTCAACTTTATTCCTATTTAATGTACATTATACATCATATAAACCAAAATCAACACAATAATAAATGAAGGATAAAATTGTATAGTCATATAAAAAATTTCTTTCAGTACCTTATAAATAGGATAAAAAAATATCTTCTCTCTTTGTGCTATAAATAGGACCAGAGGAGTACCATTGAATTATCACCTAATAAATTTACACTCCTCTAGTCCTATTTATAAGTTAGACCAAGAAAACCTTAAATTTTATTAATTCTCATTTTAAATTCAACAACTTTTTAACTTTATTATTATTTAATACACATTATATTTCATATAAATAAAGTCAACATGATAACAAATGAACGGTAAAATTGTATATCCATACAAAACATTTTTCTCAAGGCCCTATAAATAGGACCAAAAAATGTATTCTCTCTTTACCCTATAAATAGATTTAGGGGAGTATTAGATAGGTGCCTCTAAGAGATACTTTATTAAAAATAGTATAATAATTCTTTTATTGAAAAAAATAATTGCAGTAGGCCTTAAAGAAAATAACATAAGTAAAATAATGGTGCATATTTTGTTTCAGTAACAATTATATTGAGATGGTTGATAGGTCCTTTTTATAAATATACTCTTCATATATATTATCTTCATGATATGATAAAATTTGAATTGGCTGAAGTGAATTTTTTATTCAAAGTTTTGAGAAATTACAATTAATTAAATATATGAATGTTAATCAAGAACAACAAAATTACTTATGAATAAGTGAAAAAGAAATCGAAAGCACATAAATAAATTATATATATCGAAAGTTTTAAGTGCGCAAAAAAAAGTGAGTTAGGTTTTGCTAGGAGAAAAAAATACTTTTTAATAAAAAGGACTGGGATTTTTGCTTTTGCCATTAAAAAATGGGGTGGATCAATATGTCATGCAACACTTTGTTAGTATTGGAGAATACTTTATCAGCAAAACATTAACAAGGCTACAAACAATAAGGAGACCTTTTATTTTATTTTGAAAGATAGACTATTAAAAAAAATTTAAAATAAAAATTAATACAAAATTAAAGTACTAAGTGTGTACTTGTACCAAAAATGAAAAAAATTGTCAATTTATTTAAGAGCAATGATCAAAAATAGATTTTTTCCCTATTTTCTTAAAATAAAATAGGGAGGACATATTTTTTAAAGGAAATTTGGTGAAATATTCTTGTTTCAAAATTTTATTTGTTAAAATGATCTGATATGCTTTTATATATAAAAATCACCGGTATTCCATAGAATTTTATACACAGAAAGTACTGGTATTTGAATTCATGTCCTTCTTGGTAATAAAATTTTCGAACGAGCACTCCTTCCCAAATTTTCATCTTTTCTAACGTTATATATGCTATGGTGGGATTATAATATTAATGACTAGTGGAGCTTGTCTTTGAAAAATAAACAAAACTACCTTGCAAAATGAGGGGTTAGTGTGCTGGGTTTGGATTTTGTTATAACACAAAAGAGTTTAGGAAGCATAAGAAACCAGCCTATAAAATCAATATAACAAGATGGACAAAAATCAATACAACATTATAATGTATAAAACTAAAATGACTATTTATATACAGTTTATTTATTATTTTTTGAGCTTGTGGCTTGGTTATGAAAGTATATATTTTGCTTTCGTTGATCAATTTGCACTTACAATCCTGGATAATCTGATCCAATTAGATAGTCATTAAAAAAAAAATCTGCATTCACACTTTTTGACGATTTATTGTAACTTATTTACAATTTATAATTTTTTTTAAAAAAACAGATTCCTTACACTCCTATTTCTTTTGAAGTTATGTATTTCTTGTTTTACACAATGGATAGGAACTAATTGCTTGGTGGATGTTGGTAACATCTAAAGATTAGGTTTAATTGTTTCCAACCAGTTCATAAGTGGTAATAATGTGTTGATGATCACCAAGACTATGAGCATATCACTCGGAGTGAAATAATATATATCCATAATGCGATGCGATTCGTACGGCAGCGGGAATAAAAACGTCACTCTCAAATCTCAACTTAATTACATGCGTCCATTAAATTGGTTTTTAAATATAAAAATTAAATAGACTGCACCAGCCCAAAAAAAAAAAGTGTCGATCGGTGATATTGTATTTGGTATACATGGCACTAGGCATACCATGTTTTGCTATTAATATGTTTCACGTGGAAGTGACTCATGAATATTAAGAGTACTACTCTATTTCTATTTATAAATCACTTGTGTTTCAAGTTTGCAAATCAAGAAATAAATTAAATTGATAATTTTTTTTTCACGTTTGCCCTTATTAAAGAAATGGTATAAAATTATGTTTTATACTTTACATAGGGCGACGCGCATGGTGATAACTGAGTTTCACTCTTCCCTCCAATTCATTTTATTAAGTGAACAAGTTGATATTTGGGTTTCACAACAATCTAGTGTCAATGCGACTTGGGAGGACGGGTTATTTAAAAATTACTTGTCTTAAATATAAGATTTAATTTGTAGTGTAAGGGGTGTTATGATAAAAATCAAACCATAATTTTAAAAGTGATTTTATGATATACAAAGTAAATATATGGAGAATTTTTTCTTGATTTGTGAAAAAAATGTCTTTAGAAAGCACTCTTGACAATAGCCAAATACCTGATCTTATATTGAGTACTCCTTCGGTCCTTAATATAGGACCCAATTATTGAGTTAGTTTTAGTCCTAAATATAAGACCCATTTCTTATATTTATTAATTTTCTCTAAATTACCTTTATGGATACTCCCTCGGCCATAATCAAGTAGGAGAAAAAGATGGAGTATTAAGAAAGATGATTATGGTATTTTAGGAAAAACGTGTCATATTTCTTATAATTAACTAACTTACCTAACTTCCTTAATCTAATCAAATTAGTTAAATGGGTCTTATATTTAGGACCGAAGGAGTATTATATTTAAAATCAGTTCACAGATTAATATACTGAACGGTATAATATGAGCTCAGTCCTCCATGTCGTCGTGGAAACTTCGAAGAAGCCAAACATAAATTTCGTGGTGGGGTCTTAGTCAGTCTTTTGGGAATTTTCTCAGACGAAAATCTATTTCTCATGGGGGCTTTACTTAATTACGACAATCAATCAAGTTTGTGTGATGCCATGCTATATATGAAGGTGCCAACGTCTTGTTTGGACGTTGGGAATCCTAGTCATTCTCTTAGTATAATATCTGTCGTATTTATAATATCTGTTATATTTTTACTGTTATCAAATAATATTATTTTATCACAAAAGAAAATTAAGAAAAATATATTTTTTATGAGAGTATAATATTTATTTGATTGTTTTTCTCACTCAAATTATGATTTGCGACTTTTCGCAGTTGAGTCATATATATACATCCCCCCTTAGTGAAATTTTACCTTGTTATTATGAGTAGATCACTTCAGGGTCAGGATTTTGAAAAATTTAAAGAAGCCAAATGTATGTTTTGATTTCACTCGATTGATGGAAACAAATATCAACAATACTACACAGCAAGTGGATAACTTCGCCCCACGAAGGGGAATAATTATTAATACTGAAAGGAGACACATGACAAACATTATGTAACACTCAACACAACCCACAACTAAAGTCCTATACATATATATTAGTACCTCGTGGCCTATTAATTATTTATCTACATAAACAAGCCAGAAGAGAGGTAATAATTATTAATATTGAAATAAGACACATAACGAACATCACGTAACACGCAACAAACCCACAAAAGCCAGATATATGTTACCACCCGCCTCTATATTTATAAGGAAAATCGCTATGAGATCTTAAGGAAAGGAATAATAAAATCACCATAATTACGTTCATTCCCTAGGACGTCACAATGATTCACCCTTATAAGTTATAATTAAGGCAGAAAGGTACGTAGGTAAGTAATATTAAGATTTTGCAAATGAAGAATGGTCAGACAGAAGAGAGAGTGGGCTTCAAACTAAAGAAGTCGTGGGAGCATAAAGTTGACGTTGGCATGGAGATGATAGGACTTGCCTTGAGCCAGCCACTGGTTCACCGGGAATGTTAACTTGGTAGCATCGTAGCATTCAAAGATGGTGATTTCGACGTATTCCAAGTACCACCCTGGGGCTTGCCCTGTCCCGTCGGAGATTAAAGTGATGGCGCAAACGTCGCCATTGAAGCAAGGGCCTGTGCCGCTGAAGATGTCGAGGCTGCCCCGCTCGAAGGAGGCGTGACCGGAATCCATTATACCCCAACCTTGGAGGTTGTAGACGGTAAAGTATCTGCCGGGATGGGAGGAGTTGATCATGAGGCTGATGTCGGACTCGGTTCCTGCATCCTGTACATTTCCTGTCTTAACTCTCACAAGGTAGTAGCACGGCGGCGGGGGGAGGCATTCATGTGAGCACACACAAGATAGAAAAACAAGACAAGACAATGCAACTCTGAGAGCAATAAGAGCCATTTGTTTAATTAGTTTGTGACGAAGTTAAAAACAACCTATGCTCCTGCATGCCTTTATATAGGGCCACATACAGTAATGATCCCAAAGGAAGAAGTTAAACGTGGAAGGTGCGAGGGAGTTGGAGGAAATGCAAAATGCTACAGTTAATATAACAAGAACAAAAGTAGTTATGATTACCATATCCGCCTATCTCTCTCCTTTCTCTTTAATTGGATACTCCTTTCTCCTTTCTGCTGCAGCTTTCTGTCATTTTCTATTCGCTTTTGCTGAAACAACGTAAATATCAGCTCAGTACTTGTCAATCTTTTGAAAAATCAATATATAATGGCGACAGCTACGGGCGTTCATATTTGGGATCCTCAGCAATCTAGTGTAGTGCGAAAGCGAGTTGTTAAGAATGATAATTTTTTTTTTGTAAAGAAAGAGTTTATACATGCATGCGTGTTTAGCACGCACGACACACAAAGTATTATTATATGGGTTCAAATATCAGCTCAGTATTGGTCTTATCCTGCCCTTTCTAAATAATTAAACCTCGAAAAGGCGAAGAAGAGAATATCACGGGACTGAAACTGTTAATTTGTCATCTTACTCCGGCAGCCACAAAGACACATCTAACCTGCTTTAATTTGCCAAGGTCATGGACACAAGCATGCTTCCAACCTATGGTTTAAAAGAGCCCCAGAAGATAATGAAGCGACAAGATGGTGCCGGTTACATACATTAGGCCACAATAACAGGGAAGAAAGGGGAGATCCTATTACGATGATGATAATTCATCACATCTTTGAAATGGTTTTGGTGTGCAAGTAGTTCTTCTTTAGCCCAAAATGGCATCTTTAATGAGGTTAGGATGTCCCAGGTTGTCCAACCGGCCTCAGAATAGTGTGAAACTAGTCTATAGTTAAATCTTATATAGAGCTTCTTGTCAAGTCTTGAATCACATCAACTGGAGGTCTGGAACCCAAGAAATCGACCCCAAAATTAACAGACTGCATCAAAAAAAATTTTGTTTTTGCAAAACGTACCTGCGAATACTCCAAGTCTTTCACTTTGTATTTTATGATGTTCGGCTTCATCTGGGGATTTTGGGGCCCCTTGAAATCTCGTATCACGTATTTGGGCTTCGTCATAACGATTTGATGATAAATTTTCATGAAATTTGCCTACAATATGAAGGGGTAGTAGTGTTAGAATTCAAGTGTGTGATTGTGTGGGATGGACCAACTACTTTTTATTATAAATATGTTTTTCCTTGGTAATCGTAATGAGTTCGAAAGTTCCTTTCTTAAAAAAAAATTGTCCATCAATTGATGAATTCTCTATAATATCATATGCTTTATTATCATGGATTTTTATTTATTTTGAAGTAGTAACTTATTTTTTATTAAAAAAAAAAAGTAATTTCTTTTGACAAAGTTTGAAGGGAGAAAATTTTTTACGATATGTTAACAACATTAATTTGATGTCCTTGCGTTATTTTAATCTTAAAATCTTTCCCACATGTAAATGTAAACTTAATTTCAATCATATTTGAATATATGATTAACAACAAATAGGAAGTTCTGCTCTCAATTCTCAATTCTCAATTACTTACAAACAACAAGAACACAAAACATGCATGCATGCACACATCGCATACGGGCAAAAAATAAAGATGTCTAAGCAGACAATGCTGGGCTCATCCCAATCATAATTCGATTATTTGAAAGAAATTGATCAGGCACGCTTCCGTTACCTGCAACAATAAATCTAAAAATGAGATGCAGCAATAATTAAATAAAAGATAAAATATAATAAGTAAATTAAATCAGTGAGTGCAAATCAAATCCAACCAAACAACATTGTATTTAGACGATGTTGTACTCACCATAATAAAATAACATTATTCTTTCATGTGTGAGTCCATTGAACAAGTCAGGCCCATCTTTAATAAAGAATGCGAGCATTTCTCAACATTAGGAGGGATTTGCATCATGTTTTCCTACAAGTCTCTTAAATAGTTGGGTTCACAACTTCCAAAAGCTTGTTTGGAAATGCATTATTTACATATGTTTGAAGCTTGTGACCATCTTCAAACATACCTTCAGTGGGTCTTCTTTTAGCTAACATCTCTAAGACAAAAGCTATACATGTCACCTTGTATTGATACTTTAGCACTCATTCCATATTCTGAATATTGTAAGGATATTAATTCTATTAGTTGTATAAATGATAATTGAAAAAATGAAAAAAAGTCAAGTTAAAAAGCATTATGAATTTGAATGTAGTAAAAGAAAATATTAAATGATACCTGTAGGAACATAGCCAGCAGTACTCTTTATTCCAAATGTGTTGCTTTGTTCATTACAGATACTTCCGCAGTCAAAAGTGTGATAAGTGCAGATTTTATAATTAAATAGATAAAAAATTTTCCATGATAGTAGATTGAATTTTTAGATATTTTATATCTATTTAATTATTTTATATATTTTCCTCCTAAGTCTAATTAACGAAATAAAAAGATATATTTTCATAAAATCTTCTCATATCTTTCATATTTTGCAAATACTATAAAATAAAATAAGATAATTTAAAGGATGGGGTTATTAGGTGTGATTATTTCTAAAGATAAAGAAGAGAGGAAGACACGTGGGAGCCGGGAAAAAGATATGGGGTCCTAGTTGTGATTCCCCCCAAAGGTTACCAATTAAGAGATTCGTGCCAGATGTTGGGCACAGCCTGGAATGAAGATTTGGGGCTTAGAGCGCAATGCTCCCTGGCAAAATCTGAGCAAATCAACTGTGGCATGATTTAAACGTGAATTGGATTGTATGATATGTATTTTTACATTTTAAGAGTCCCAGAACAGGAGGAAAACTTTAGATATAAATATAGGCCTTATGGTCACTCTAAGACATCGAATCACAACTCAGAGCTATTAAGAGCAAGAAATTTTAAGAGTATTGAGGCTGGGTTAAAGTCTTTTCTTAATTTCTTTAATTTTTTGTGGTTGTTTATCATGGTTGTGGATTTTAGATTGGTGATAGTTATGAATTTTTGTGTGTTTCAAAATTCCTAGTTGGGGTAGCTAGGGATATAACCCTTTGGAAAAACCAGTTTGTTTTGTTTGTTTTGTTTTTACTCTTTTATAGACTTTTATTTATGAATACATTTTAGTTTTTTTAGTTATATCTATTTTTCTTGTTTTAATGTTGATTTTATCACTGATCACAGTTAAATCAAATCTATGGGTAGTCTTGATGGATTAGGAGGTGAAGAGAGAACTTAGATCTAGAGAAATAGACAAAAATATTTAGGCTAGGGATAGTTTTATATATTTATGGTGACTTAACCTATAGTTTTATTGTTTAATTAGTTGTTTCGGTATCATGGAAACAAATTCAGCACTAATTAAAAAGAGACTAATAATTCAGAAGAATATTAAGATACTCTAGGAATAGTTGTTACTATAATTGAATAAAAAGTCAAGCCAAATCATAGAAACTAGCTATCTATAGATCAGTGAATCCTAAACCACAACCTTGTAAGTGATTGGTTTCTTTTCATATGCAATTGTCTTTTGTTTTTCTTTTTTAGTTTGAATTCATTCTCAAACGGTTGATTTTAAGACTTTTATTCTTAGCCTTTTAATCAGCTCAATCTCACATTTTATTATATACTAGGGTGTCTCCAATCTTAAGCAATATGAGACTTCTTCTATTGACACAGCCACACACATTATTTACAGCAATATCATGGGATTGAAACTGTTAATTTTCCCTCTCATAGTAAAAAAGAGCAACTTCACTCTATTCATTTTATTATGTGGACATGTTGATGACACGGGATCGATGTCAATCTTAACTTGCTCTGTGCACGTTTCATTTTTTAATTCTTTTTTTAAAAATTGAAGATTATATATTAAAAGTAATGAAACGAATGAAAAATATTAAAGTCAAAAAATAAGAAAAATCAGACAGCTCCTAATTAAAATTTAAATAGTAAATCGATAATTAAAGGAAATTTTGAAAATAAAAAATATATTTCTTAAAGGACAATACTTACATTAAATTTCTTATATTTATTATTTCAGGTTTTCAATCACAATGACCATGTATATTATTTTTGAAATATTGGCATTTAATGGTATTTAATTATAAACCCACATAAAAAAAACTAAGAACACTTGGTTATACGTTATGAAAAACCTTGACCTAATGGATATAATGAATTTGATATAAGTATTTTTCTTTCTTAAATAAGACAAAGAGTTGCACGAAATGGAGAAGAGAGGATAATCACCCCCCAAACAAAAAAAAAAAAGAAGACAAAATATGAAGGCACTGGATGTATAATTTCTGTTGACTTGTATGTTTCTATAAAATAAAGTAAAAAATCCTTACTTGAAACTTCGAATTGTTTGAGTTTTCTTGTGTATATTTACTGAGTTAGAGAGTTTTGTTTTTTGTCCAAATTGATGAATTCTTTACCACGTAGTATTTTTTAAGCTTTGATTATCAGGGATTTTTGTTTATTCTGAAATAAGAATTTCTTTTAAAAAATTTTAAAGTGAGAAAATTGCTAACCACATTTTTAATGCCAAAAAAAGTTGGGTTAGATTGTGTGACAATTTTTAAAAAAGATAAAATTTCACATTTCTCTTAAAGAGTTTACTCTTCATTATGATTCATGAACTCATTTAATTTTTTTTAAAACCAAAATGAACTCATTTAGTTCAATTAATCTAGTTACTATAGACCCATATATGAATTATACTACGTACGTGGATGTATAACCGACATAAAAACCTCAAAAACTACGTTGCTGGATTGTACATTCCTTGTGTAACTGATGTTAAAATCGTATTTCGACCAATGTTAATTAAAGGACTTCTCTGTTGTGGTGGAACTCAGGAACATCGTGAATGAAGATAGAGGATAACGGAATAAAGCCTTTCCAAATCTTTAGATTTTATTAAACATGAATGAATAACGCTGATGAGCCCTCGTTTCAATGAGATAGTTATTATAATTATGAACTGCTCTAACAGGATATACTACCTCCTGTCTTTAATATAAAAACTAATTTGACATTCAGTTTGATTCTAAATATAAGATTTCAGTTTACTTTGTCTATCCTATTTATCCCCCTTTTTTTAAAGTAGTTCTTGTAATGATTGCGCATATTAAAAGGTTTTATCAAGTTATAGCTACTACACTTGACTAGTAAGGGCATCTTAGGAAAAATAACACTTATTAATAGCTAACTTAACTAATTTTTTTAATCTATTCAAATTACTCAATTAATTCTAATATTAAGAACCGGGGGTAGTATATGCTAACTTCAACTGAGATTATTGTTACGTATTACGTGCAGTTCTTAATATAAAATTATACGAGTATTTTTTATTTTTGGTGTAATTTGTGTTATAAAATAGATATTATATTAAAGATGAAAATTAGTTTGGACCCAACTAATCCCTCTGCCGGCTAAATGCTTAGTTTTTTAATGCGTATGACAGAACTGGCATTAAAAACGATATCTATGAAATAAATCACATTCTCATGAATCATTTTCGGAATAATTTCATATCTTGGAGTCTCATAGATAGACTTTCTTTTTTGGTTTGCAATTTGCATCATTAGCTTTGCTTTGTTTTAAGGATATTACAAAAATTGAAAAATAAAAAGAAAAAAATTAGACAAAATATAGCAAATATTATAGCAAAAGAATGAATATGTTTTCTTAGCAAACAAGGCTCTGGCTTTACTTACAGCACGGAAATTAAACAAACTTCACTACTGTAAGGGAATTAGACCTCAGTATTGCAAGTGTATATGAATTTTGTGCGAGACTAATAACCAAACATGAACAGAAAAGTTCGTCAAAAGCCGTGACTAATAACCAAACACGACCAGTTTTTTTAATTCATTTTTAGAGAACATATATCTCTCACAACGTGGTGAACCAATATTTAAATCTCTATTAGGAGATGCTCATATTTAATACCCGACAATATCTCGCATATGATTGCCGTAAATAGGAGGATATGTACCTATGCATAGCCCAAAAAAAAAGAACATAAAATAAAATTAAAAAAAAATAGCTCCAGGCGGAACGCGTGGCAGAGGACGAGACTAATCGTGATTATCTATGATCACTGGCGCTGTTTGAAAAACCTTCACGCATTTTGAGGTCACAACAACCGACAAATGAATAATAAGTTAGCCTTCTTTTCTCCGCTGAAAAAAGGCGAAGGAGATTCTTCCTTTTCTTTTCTTTTGTTTTGTTTTTACAATGTTTCTTATGTTCTTATTAATAGGCGTCAGACGTGATGAATACTTTTTTATATATTTACAGACATATTTAATCTCATATGTTGTTTGCACCGCAAATGCTGGGTTGTCATGAGTAATAAAGTGATAAGTAAAGCATTATTCCTACAAAGATTTGATTCCAAGACCGGTCAAGCATTATTTATTACACTTTTGACTAATTTGAATGATACAAAGATGCCAAAAGTGAAAGAAAACTATTTTTAAAATTAAAAATTAATATAAACAAATGATTCTTGGACTTCAAGGATAAAATAGAAAATAGGATTATTTATTCCCTTTGTATTTATTAACATACAATTTACCTCCCCTCGTCACAGCTTTTAATGAGAATATCTGTTAGTCTAGGATTCAAATATACTTGTAAAAGTTTTCTCAAGTCAAGAACAAGTGTTGAATTCTATTAATTGCTCAATCTCTTGTTATAATTAATAAAGCCCAATTTGAAGCTCCAATTCTAAGTTGACTATGCAAGGTTAGCAAGTATATCTTTATCTTACCAACAAAACCATCCATTCAATATGCTAACTTCAAGTTCTTACACAATTTTACCCAAATTCTACACTCAAGCTAGCTGTCTTAAGCATCAATCAAATAAATAAAACATCTAAATGGTGATCAAGCACTTAGAAGCATTAAGCAAGAGATAAAATAAACAAATATACATCATTAATCACAAAATAAGAGGAGGAATTAAGAGTTAATACATACGGAGGTTCAAAATAATCCTATAGCTTTTTAGAGTTACTGTATGTTTGGCCATCTCAAAAAGGCTTAGCGGCAGACAGAGTGAAGTGGGAACCAGGCTGATTGATGTGAAATGGAAAGGGGCGGAAAAGAGGGAGGGATGCAGGAGTTCTTTATTCAATTAAATCACAAGCAAAATATACTACTAAAAACACTAGTTTTATTTATAGATCTTAGGGAATAATATATAATTATTTAAATTCAAATTCAAATCTAAATCACATACTAAGTCTTATAGGTGAAAAGAACAAAGATAATTCTAAGATATCCTCTTTTATTGAGATAATACAAATATTTAAAAAAAATGAATAATTAAATAAATCCTTATTCTGATGAATGAATATATTCAAATCCGTAATGTATAATCCTAGATATTTCATTAAACCCTAATTATTCTTTAAGTCATATCCCATCATCTATCTACATCTAATGACAAAATTATTACACAGAACATGGTCCACTTGCGTAGTTATGTTTCTCACTGTTGCATTTTTGCGTAGGTATGCATAAAAAATTGATGCTGATTTGATTTGCTCGGTGCTTAAGATATTATATTGTAGCATTTTCCTCCTATTCGCACACCCTGCACGCTTTCTCCCTCACCCTCGGGCTCCTTCTTGCTTGGCCAGACACGTGTACTTGACATCGGCCCTCACCGACAGACCTCCATTTGGGCCCTGTTCCTGTGGGATCACACATGCGGCCCTATATAAAGGCATGCCAATAGGCTGTTTCGGCATCATCGATCTGTAAAATAACTAGCGTCACACAAAACTAAGTAAACAAATGGCTCTCAGAGTTATTGCACTGTCTTGCGTTGTATTTCTAGTCTCACTCATAAGCTTCACTGCTGCAATGGCCACCACTGTAAGTGATGCCGATTTAATTTAACTAATTAATTATTTTTATTATTGTTTATTTTGTTAATTATTTCTGTATTTAGATCATGGGTAGTTACTCCACTCACCCCACTTTCCCACTCCCCTCATTTTATTTCTTTTATTTATTTTATTTATTTCTTTTATTTATAGTTTAGGGTTTCAGTTTGTAATCAGACTTGGCATTTAGAATTTATTGATCAGTTTTTCTCCCGTTCTCCCTGCTTCTCTGCTTCTCCTCTCTTCTTCTTTCTCTTCTCTAACTTCTCATCCCTTACAATCCTTTCTTGTTCTACATCAATTTTGGCATCAGAGCCAGATTGTGCTTCCCTGTGTTCAATTTCTGTCAATCCAAACCATCCAAACATGCCTTTAAGTTCAAAAGCTCCATCAGTGCCGTCACTCTAGTTTTTGCTGCACAATCGCCTCTGTCCATTCACTCCCAGGCCTCCTCTCATCGTGCCACCACCGTTATCATCTTCTTCGGCCAATAACCGTCCAGATCACTCAGTTTCACGGTGAGTTACTGCCGGAAAAAGTCCACTGCACAAGATCACCGTCACCGTCACTTTGAAGGCTCATAACTCTCTCGTCCGACCTCCGATTGCCGCAAAACCACCGCCGTTCGAACCGTAGGGCGGAACACGGTCACACACCGGAGTTTCACGGCCAACGAACTATCGACGAGCCTCCGTGGGCTGGAAGAAGTGTCTGCGTGTGAGATCCACGCACCTCTGTGGTTCTGCAGTTCCAGATTCAGTTTTAGCGAAAATTACACATTTTGACCCACATTTTCCAGAAAATTTCAAATTCGCCCCATATTTTGAAATTTTGCAGTATGACCCAATTCGTTCGAGGAACTTACACTTCAGGACCCATATTTTGTCAAAATTTTCACTTCAGCCACATAATCATTTAGACACTTTGGGGTAATTTTCTGGTCTCTTTAAGTGCGTTGATAAGGCACAATTGACCCTCTCTTTAACTTACTGTGACTAGTCTGACATACTGGAGGTTACTATTTTGCTTTTGCCATTCTATTGATTATTATTTACTGTATTAGCATTTCCATTTGTTTAATTTGGTTATATTATTGTTATTAAAAAAAAAGAAAAGAGAAAGGAAAAAAAAAGATGAGAAAGAAAAAGAAGGCAAAAAAAAGAGAGAGAGAGAGAGAGAATTTATATTCATTTTATTAGTAGCTCTTTACTTGCTTTATTATTTGTTGTTAGCTTTCGTCTATCTATTGCATGGCTATTCGTGATATTGAAAATAGACAAGACACCTTAGACCAAACACTTCAATCTTTAGAACCTCGTGTTAGCTCCCTTCAATCCCAAATGGACCAGAGACTTCAGACTTTTGAACTAAAACTGAATGAACTTACCAAATGCCTTAAGGACTCTTTGGTTGAGATTAAGCAAGAATATAACTCCCAGTGTCAGGAGCTTAGAACCACTTCTTAGGAGCTTGAGGTAGCTAATCAAGAGCTTAGGACCTCCCAGCAGGAGATTAGGGATTCTCTCCTAAGGATTAATAAGCAGGTCTTTAATAAGGGCGCAAAAGGGATTCTTGGAAATGTCCCTGAGACCAATCAAGCACACCTTAAGCCCAACACCATTGGACCATCTCACACTAGAGGCTCCTAATTGTCTATAGGTTCGCGTAACTCGCAGACTAAACCGCTACACGTTGAGACCCTTCCCCCACAGTTCGAGGAAGAGGACAACCCATGGGATGAGCAAGGGATAGAGGCTCGCTACGAATCCCATGTTACGAACCGACGAGCCTATGGAGGATACACCACGTGCCCTAGGTATGGATGAGACCCGTCGCCACCCAAACGATACTGAGACACCCCTCGGCAAGACTACAGTGATGATGCAACGAAGAGGGTTAAAGTTGAGGCACTTGACTTTGATGGACGTTTAGACGCGAATGCCTTCCTCGATTGGTTAACCACCATGGACGACTACTTCGAGTGGTACAATATGAGTGACATACAACATGTTCGTTTTACCAAGATGAAGCTCGTAGGATCTGTAAAGAAGTATTGGCAGTACGTCCAAGTGAACCTTGAACGCTTAGGGCAACCTCCTATCACTACTTGGGAGGAGATGAAGTTGAAGCTTAAGGAAAAGTACGTGCCGGTCAGTCACTTAAGCACGCTTTTCAACCAATTGAACAGCCTCAAGCAGGGAACCTCATCGGCAGCCGACTACGTCTCTCGATACGATGACCTTCTAATTCACAATGACTTAAATGAGCCGAGTTTTGTGGTTATTGAGAGGTTCATCAGCGGCCTTAGGGATGACATACAGAGGGAGCTCAGAGTAAACCGTCCTTACACTTTAGAGGAAGCATATCATAAGGCTATCGACATTGACTTCCTACCTAAGTATCCCTCCTTCAGGCGTCCCAGCTTCTCTGGATTAGAGTCTCGTCCAACACGTAGCTCTGCTGTTTCGGCCAATCAACGGGTAAGTCAACAACTTTCAGGGCCAAGCGCTTCTAGACCAAGAGAGTCATCAACCTCAAACGCTCACACAGGTAGCTCATCAATAGAGTGTTTCAAGTGTCACTCTAAGGGACATATCGCTTCAAAGTGCCCGCAACGTGCGTTGCTTATCGAATCTCAAGATGATGCACTACTCGAGAGTGAGCCAAATGTCGTCATTGACCCTGTCGATATTCCTTCTAATGTGGACGAAGAAATTAATTGTGATGACATGCCATCAGGTCATCTTGGAGTGATGCGATGCCTCCTGACTGTCCCAACGCTAGATAACTCATGGAAACGGAACAACATCTTCCACACCTTCGTGAAGTGCGGTGATAAGTCATGCAAGTTGGTTATTGATAGTGGAAGTGAAAGGAACGTGATCTCTAGTCAAGGTGTTGCTCGTCTTGGACTTAAGACAAAGCACATTGCTAAGCCTTTCAAAGTTGCGTGGGTCGACAACACTTCATTGCTTATCACTCAGCAATGTCGTGTCCCACTCCATTTGGGCGACTACAAGGAAGATGTTTTGTGTGTCGTGATCCCTATGGATGTGTCTCACATTCTTTTAGGATGCCCGTGGCTATATGACCATGATGTCACTATCCAGGGCCGAGCAAACAACCACATCTTCAAGCATGAGGGCAAGACCATCTTACTTCGTCCTGCGAAGCCTGAGCCTAAAGCAAAGGGTCCAGCCGCCATGAAAGAATCCACCTCTAAGCCTATCAACCTTCACCTCCTTACGGAGAAGCAGTTCATCGAAGAAAGTAGAGAGGTTGATGTCATCCTTGCTGTTGTTTCCAAAGTCCTCTCTCCTCCTACACCAACACCTGACAGCCTTCCAACAGAAGTGACCCAACTCTTGGATGAGTTTAAAGATGTTGCACTTGAGGAGTTACCTCCTGACTTGCCACCCATGAGGAACATCCAGCACGCGATCGATTTGGTTCCAGGATCACAGCTCCCCAACCTTTCACACTATAGGATGAACCCTAAAGATCGGGAAGAGCTCAATCGTCAGGTTAATGGCTTGTTTGAGAAGGGCTATATCCAGCATAGCCTCAGTCCTTGTACTGTCCCTGCCCTTCTGACTCCGAAGAAAGACGGCTCGTGGAGAATGTGTGTTGATAGTCGAGCCATCAACAAGATAACTGTTAAGTACAAGTTCCCGATCCCTAGGTTAGAGGACATGCTTAATTTAGTATCTGGATCTAAATGGTTCTCCAAGCTCGATCTTCACAGTGGTTACCATCAGATTCGAATCAACCAGGAGATGAGTGGAAAACTGTGTTTAAAATGCAAGATGGACTATACGAGTGGCTCGTTATGCCATTTGGCTTAACAAACGCCCCAGCACATTCATGCGAGTAATGACACATATGCTGCAGTCCTATCTAGGAAAGTTCGTGGTTGTCTACTTTGATGACATTCTGGTTTTTAGTAAGTCCAGAGACGACCACTTGCACCACCTTAGACAAGTGCTTCTGACCCTTCGGAAGGAGAAGTTTTATCTCAACCTACCAAAGTGCTCCTTCCTACAGAATCAAGTTATGTTTCTTGGATTCATTGTCTCGGAACAAGGCTTATCTGCAGACCCTGCAAAAGTCGGAGCTATTCAAGATTGGCCAGAACCGCAGACACTGCAGGAAGCATAGCTTCCATGGGCTTGCATCCTTCTATCGACGTTTCATCAGAGACTTCAGCACACTTATGTCTCAATTACTGACTGCCTGAAGAAGGATAAGTTCAACTGGACTCCCACGGCCTCCACAGCTTTCAGCACTATTAGAAGAAACTCTCGAGTGCTCCCGTCCTGGCTTTACCTGATTTCAACAAGTGCTTTGAATTTGCTTGCGACGCATCTGGGGTTGGGATTGGAGGCGTTCTCAGCCAAGAAGGCCACCCTGTCGCCTACTTCAGTGAGAAGCTCAATGAGGCCAAGCAAAAGTACTCCACGTATGACAAAGAGTTCTACGCCATTGTTCGCTCTTTGGAGCATTGGAAGTACTACCTCCTTCCCCAACAGTTTGTCATATACTCAGACCACCAGTCTCTCAAGTTCCTTAGCTCCCAACAGCATTTGAATGCCAAACATGCCAAGTGGAGCGAATTCATTCAGGAGTTTACCTTCGTGGTCAAGCACCGCCCAGGGGTAGAGAACAAAGTAGCTGACACTCTTAGTCGAAGAATCCACGTTCTCAACACTCTGACGGTTAGTGTCGTGGGCTTTGATAAGCTCAAGGATGAGTACACCTCGTGTCCTGACTTTGGTATCATTTATAACGAGGTTAAAGATGGCAACCGCCACGATCATGTGGATTTTCTTATCGATGATGGCTACCTGTTCCGTGGGTCGAGATTGTGCATTCCCGCACGTCACTACGCGATTTTCTTTTTGGGAATTGCATGCTGAGGATTAGCAGACACTTCGGTGTTCATAAGACTACAGCCCTAGTTGAAGATAGGTTCTATTGGCCTTCCCTTAAGCGTGATGTTGCTCGAATCCTTTCCCAGTGTCATACGTGCCATACGGCCAAGGCAAAGAAGAGGAATAATGGATTATACACGCCTCTTCCTATTCCTGAGGCACCTTGGAAGGACATTAGCATGGATTTCGTGCTTGGGTTGCCTAAGACAGTGAGAGGGCACGACTCTGTCTTAGTTGTGGTTGATAGATTCTCAAAGATGGCACATTTCATTCCGTGCAGTAGGACTACCGATGCTTCACATCTGGCAAAGCTTTTCTTTCGAGAGGTTGTGCGTCTTCACGGTTTGCCTACTACAATTGTCTCTGATAAGGATGTCAAGTTTGTCAGCTATTTCTGGAAGACCCTTTGGAAGCTCTTCGGGACACAATTGAAGTTCTCGTCTGCTTTCCACCCTCAGACTGACGGACAGACTGAAGTAACTAACCGTAGCTTAGGTGACCTGCTCCGTAGTTTAGTTGGTGATAAGCCTGGTAACTGGGATTTAGTCTTGCCTATAGCTGAATTTGCTTACAATAACTCGGTCAATAGATCCACTGGCAAAAGCCCATTCCAAATTGTTCAGGGTTACAACCCAAAGCAGCCTATTGACCTTGTTCCCCTTCCCCTGTCTGCTCGCCCTTCTGAGTCTGTCGAGACCTTTGCACATCGCCTTCACGATATTCATGCTGAGGTTAGGCGTAAGTTAACTTTAAATAATGACAGGTATAAGATAGCTGCCGATGTCCATCGACGTCACTAGGCGTTCAATGTTGGCGACCTTGTCATGGCTCGCATACGGCCTGAGCGTTTCCCAAAGAGGCCTTACAAGAAGCTGCATGCCCGTGCCTCTAGCCCGTTTTACATTTCCAAGAAGTTAGGGCCTAATGCATATTTATTAGAGTTACCTCCACCTATGGCTATCAGTCCAGTATTTAATATTGAGGATCTTGTTCCTTATCGGGGCACTTTCGAGCCCCCCCTTTTGTTTTTTGATGATGCTACAGGTACCCCGACCCACCAAGCCCTAACTCCACCGTTGCCTAAGGTTGCGCCACCCGCCCAAGCCATTGACGCCGTGATGGATGAGCAGACGATATCCACTCCAGCAGGTCCCATCAGTCGTTACCTCGTTCGTTGGAAAGGCTACAATGATGCAGACGCCACGTGGCTCATCGAGGACGAATTCCGTCGTATAGACCCCGCCTTCCTTGATGACTTCTAGCTGTCCAACTCTCCAGTGGTGAGTTCTTCCAACCCAGGGAGAAATGATACAGATTTAATTTAACTAATTAATTATTTTTATTATTATTTATTTTGTTAATTATTTCTGTATTTAGATCGTGGGTAGTTACTCCACTCACCCCACTTTCCCACTCCCCTCATTTTATTTGTTTTATTTCTTTCTTTTATTTATAGTTTAGGGTTTCAATTTGTAATCAGACTTGGCATTTAGAATTTATCGATCAGTTTTTCTCTCATTCTCCCTGCTTCTCTGCTTCTCCTCTCTTCTTCCTCTTCTCTAACTTCTGATCCCTTCCAATCCTTTCTTGTTCTACATCAGTAAGTAATCGCCCTTTTTCTCTTTTGTAGATCCATTATTATTACCGTAAGCTTTTCCTTCTACTTAGTTTTTCGTGTCCTTTTGTTCATGTGCATGCATGCAGGAGGAGCGGTGCCAGTACGTTGTGAGAGTTAAGACAGGAAATGTCGATCATGGAGGAACGGACTCCACCATTAGCCTCAAGTTAAAGTCCCTTTCCGGCAATAGTTTTACCATTGCCGACCTCGACGAGTGGGGCTTAATGGGACCCGGTCAGGACTACTTCGAGAGGGGCAACCTTGACGTCTTCAAGGGCACTAGCAACTGCCTCAATGTTTGCGCCATCAACGTCACCTCCAACGACGCAGGGCACAAGCTAGGGTGGTACTTGGATTACGTGGAAGTCACCGTCAGTGGCGACGTATCTAAGGAGATATCGTTCCCGGTGAACCGGTGGCTGGCAAAAGACGAATCGCCCTATTCGCTCTCTGCCACCGTCGACTCATGCTTCAGCGTCTATCGTCTAGATCCCCACTCTCTTGTCTGTGTGAGCGAGCAAGAGTAACAGATATCTGGCTTTTGCTGGTGTGTTACGTTGCGTTGTTGTGTGTTATGTAATGTTTGTTTGTCACATGCGTCTCGTCTTAATATTAATAATTGCTACCTCTCTCTGGGCTTATTTGTAATTTATAAATAATAAATAGGCCCTGAGGTCGCAGTATGTATCTGGCTTTTGATGTGGAACTGCGTTGCGTTGTGTGTTGCGTAATAATATACTACTATGTTTACTATAATTTTATACCTTGGCCCTCGTGTCTCACATAAACTCTTTGTTTGCCGTCGTGTCTCACATAAACTCTTCGTTTTCAAGTTTCATTATTACTAGTTTGTTTTGTTTTAGGAAACCGAAAAATTGAAGAATAAAAAGGATAAAAGGACAGCGTTTTTGTTTTAAGGAAAAATTAATTTGAGAGTCCTTATAGTTTTACTCACTTTTGAAATAGGTCCCTAAGCTGTTTCTTTTTCTTTTTTTTCTTTTTTTTACCAGATGCTTTAACTTTCTATCGTTAAATCCATTGGTCCTCCCGTTAAACTTCCGCTAAAAAATACTAACAGGACCTCTAGTGCGTCTTCTCCTTCTCTCTCCTACCATAAACCCTCTCGTTTATTTGGACTTCTAATCAAATGGGCATAATCTTTCTCAAGGTCCACTCTCTTGCTGAAGAATTGATCTATCCACGTAAAATTTCCACCAATAACCCTTTTTCTTTAAATTGTTTGGTATTAAAATATAGTAACATGAAAATATATCTTTATTAAATAATTTATTTTTATATTATTTGATGATGCTAATGTTAGTATGATTTTTTTCATTTTGACACTTAATTTGATTTTATAGACATGATATATTTTTACATAAAATGACAATTTATTTATTTATATATTTATTTATTTTCTTTTTTCTCGTTTTCTCTCAACCATTCAAACAAATATGAAGGGTGATAACATTTTTTTCCTACAATTTTCTCTTCTCCTATATACAAACGAAGTATAAAGACTTATTGGCAGGAGGCATGGATCTTTAGAGTTGATTTTCATCGAGCGGTGAGGATACCTTGAGAAATTGAGAAAAAAGAAGTTTGGTTATGCAAGAGGTAAATATGCAATTTTATCTATAATCTTATTTTTCAAGTATAATTTTACTTCTAATTTTTTTAATGGTGTAATTTTACTCATGACTTTTTTTTTTTTTTGCAATTTTGCTCATGAAGGGTAAAATTGCACCCAAAGATTATAATAAAATTGCATATGAAAAATACTATATCCAATCATCAATATAAGAGCTAGTTTGACTTTCAATTTGATGTTAAATATAAAACTCAATCTATTTTGTCTCTTATATTCATTTATTAATTTTTAAGATAGTTTTTGTAGTAGTTGTATATGTTAAAGATTTTATTAAATGATTGCTCTAGTTAATACATATGATTTAGCAAGGATATTTTAAAAAAAACACCTATTTATTATAAATAACTAAACTAACTAATTTTCTCAATCTACTCTAATAAATCAACAGACTCTTATATTAAGGATAGGAAGTAATAAAATCAGAGATCAAACTACACCTTTATCCTCATTGCTAACTCTTGAGCTTAGCTTTGCAAGAGCTGATGAAACCTAATAATAACAGGGATGAAGGTGGATGGTGAAGTGGATAAAAATGAGGACGAAGCTAAGAATATTTCTGGGGATCAAGCCTTTGTCGCCAGCAGGCTGGCCCTGTAATTGCAGTCACTTTCAGCCGCCATTGTCCGAAACCGAACAGTTTGTTATAATTCGTTTTTAGAGAACACAAACAGAAATGGAAAGGTAGCTCCACATGCGGCATGCGGAACGACAAATCATGGTTTTCTGTGATGACGGATGATCCACAGGCTCTTCTCTCATCTGTTCCTTTTGTAGGAGCCCAATTCTCGTTGCTACGAAACTTTTTACTTAAAAAGCACTAGATACCCAGCAGTTTTGTTGAGTGTATATTTGCACTGAAAATTTAAAATCATAATAATATTATCAGGTACCATTTAAAAACTAACGTTGTCTGTTGACATTTTTAACAGTAAGAGATAACATTACTATAATTTTAAATTTTTAAAGCAAATTTGCACCCAAAACAACTTCGAGAGGCCCCGCTCTCCTAAATAAAAACTTTTGGGGGCAAATTTATATTTTAACTCTACAAGATAATGTTTAGAAAGTATGACTGGTGACATTTTTATAAATATTAAATGACTTTTTAAGATCAATTCTTTATATATAAGGTGTAAAGGATATATTTTTTAGACCAATTCTCTTATACCAAGTCTAAAAAATTGTAAAAATATTGGGGGGAAAATAAGATTGAAAATATATTTGCAACCCTGGTCCTAATGATATACGTCTATAAATAATATTGAAAATATATTTGTAAACCTGGTCCTAATGATATACGTCTATAATATATGTTTTAGACTGGGTGTTTGTACAATCGATTAATAAAGTATTAAAAATAATTTGAGAAAACAATATTTAATAAAATCTAAAGATTTGGAAAGGCTTTATTCCGTTATCCTCTATCTTCATTCACGATGTTCCTGAGTTCCACCACAATAGAGAAGTCCGTTAATTAACATTGGTCAAAATACGATTTTAACATCAGTTACACAAGGAATGTACAATCCAGCAACGTAGTTTTTGAGGTTTTTATGTCGGTTATACATCCACGTACGTAGTATAATTCATATATGGGTCTATAGTAACTAGATTAATTGAACTAAATGAGTTTATTTCGGTTTTAAAAAAAATTAAATGAGTTCATGAATCATAATGAAGAGTAAACTCTTTAAGAGAAATGTGAAATTTTATCTTTTTTAAAAATTGTCACAATCAAACCCAACTTTTTTTGGCATTAAAAATGTGGTAAGCAATTTTCTCAATATAAAATTTTTTTAAAAAAATTACTATTTCAGAATAAACAAAAATCCATGATAATCAAAGCTTAAAAATTACTACGTGATAGAGAATTCATCAATTGAAGGCCTTTTTTTGGACAAAAAACAAAACTCTCTAACTCAGTACATATACACAAGAAAACTCAAACAATTCGAAGTTTCAAGTAACGATTTTTTATTTTATTTTATAGAAACATAGAAGTCAACAGAAATTATACATCCAATGCCTTCATATTTTGTTTTTTTTGTTGTCTTGGGGGGGAGGAGAAATTATCCTCTCTCACTACAAGAAAATGGTTAGTTAGCAGCGGAACATTTCTAGCGGTTCAAAAAAAACCACTAGAAATTTAAGCATTTCTAGCGGTTTCAAGAACAACCGCTAGAAATTAGCATCGCTTTGACCATAAAGACTATGGGGTCCGTAGCTTTCTAGCGGTTATAACCTAACCGCTAGAAACTCACAGCTAGAACCCTTCCCGGATTTTGCGATATTTAGTTTTTTTGGACTAAGTATGAATAGGAGTCAATGCACCTAAATACACAAATCTCAAAGGTGGGTTCCTCACACTGTCTTTTGGAAAATTCAAAGAAGCCAAGCGTATTACTTTAAAGGAAAATTACCTTTCGAGTTTCAATTAACTTCATAGTACGTGCGCTTCACTCATAGCAACCATGGAAACAAACTTCATTTTTCTAAGGGAAGATCCCAGTAAGTGCAGATTAATTTTTTGTGTGACAAGTTTTTCAAAAGCAGTAACTAATAGCCCACTTTTTGCCGTCAATATATTTGGCTTCTTTGAAAATTTTCCATGACACTGGAGAACGAGTTGATATTCTGTCCCATAAAATAATTTGTGAGCAATACGCGTTAACTCTTTATTCAAGTTTTGTTTTCTAGAGAAGACTTTTCAAGTCCTTCATGCTTATCTGTTTAACTTCACCATGGTTATCATTAATCATGAAAATTAACAGAAGCATCACTTTTTCATCATTTTTCATAATTAAAAAGTATAGCTCGCGTCTCCTTATAAATTTTACATTATAGAAGTATAAAAAGATTTTATAGATTTTTTTCATGTTCCGAAATTTCTTTAAGCTTAGTTTGAAGTGTTCAATATTTTTATTCAGAAATCTATAAATATTTCTTCAAAAAAATAAATTAAAATAGGCTAATTCAAATAAGCACTTAAGACTCCATGTGACAAGGAGAGAAAAATCTAATTATAATAAATAAGCATGGGAGGAATAAAAAGTCTTGGTCAAGAATGTAAGCTTAAATATTTTCGGAAAATTCCAAGCATCTCAATGAATAATTTTAATGAACAAGTCAGTCTAAGAACCACATTGGACGTAATATTGTTATATATGGACCACAGCGATCAACAAGCCACACCTTTACATGAAATGCTGATATTCTTCTGTATTTTATATTTTATATTTTGTAAAATTCAAAGAAGCCAAATGCAGGTTTTCATTCAATTGATGATGGAAATATATAAATAATGGTTTCGTTGTTGACAGCAAGAGACCGATGACGCGGAAATTAAACGCGACAAGCATAACAGGAAAGTCCTGCTCAAGAGGACAAAGTGATAAACTTTGGAAACAAGTGAATGCGTATGGTTCACAAATTATTATACGGAATGAAATATGAGCTTAGTCATCCGGGTCGTTGTGGAAACTTCAAAGACGCTCAGTCTGGTACATTTAATGTGTGGTGCGGTCTTGGTTACTGTCTGTTTGAATAGAAATTTGGATTAGTTTTTTAGAAGTGATTGTATAGTATACTGTGAGAGTAGTTTTACTTGCATGAAAACACTTTTTTTTTTTTTGCTAAACTCCAAGTCTTGTTTAATTGATAACGTGCCAGATCTAACTGGGTAACTCTTTGATGCTTGTGACCGCAAGATATTCTATATTTTATATTTTGGTTCTGGTGACCATGTATAACTGCTACAAATTGCTTGCTGCATATGTGGCTCCAACTTGAGACCAATTTTGTGACGGTTTATTTGCTCTTAACCGCCACAAATTTCTTCCTGACCAAAATGCTGCAAATTTGTAGCAGTTTAGTTTA